TGTTTACGCGGTTTAAGGTAAAAAAAAACAAAAACATTATTTTCCACATACTGTACATTATTGTTTCTCCTCTATGCCCCGCCTTTCTGAAATGCGTCGATTTTTACAAAGCTCATCGTTCTGAAAAGCGCGGTGTGCTCTGATTGGCCAACTATCCAGTGCGTTGTGATTGGCTGAATACTTCAAGTGTGTGACGGAAATGTTGTGCCCCTGACCAGGTTCAGGAAATTCTCCTCCATAAAATGCGCTGCACACACTCGAATATTTGGGTTGTACTGTTCTGGAACAGTGTTGTAAATAAAAATTAACCACTGATTTCTGGTTGTGTCCTAGAAGGCCAAACAAAGTAGTTTGGCTTTCGCAACGAAACACACAGCGTCTCTACGACATGGTGGCGGCAGCAACAATACTACAGCGAGAATAAAAGTTACGCCTTCTTTCTTTGCGTGCACATTTGGGCGGTGTTATGCAAATCTTTCCACATCGTGACGTAGACATGTGGGGGCGTGTTTGAACGAGGCGTTTTAGGAGGGCGTGGCTGAGCGTTAACTTTTATAAAGAATATCTCTTTGGGTTTGAGACTTTAATCTTTGCGACTTTACGGATCTTCTGTTTGCACCAACAGCTTTTAACACTCCAAAGACTAAGGAAAACATGAAATCGCACCATATGACCCCTTTAAATCAAAAGGTGGTTCAACAAAATACTGACACAAGGAGGTGATCCTTTTTCCAAGTCAGTGATTCTGATAATTAATTTATTTTTTCAGACATGTTGGTGTTATATCTTTAACTTGGATGTTGTAAGTTGCACTGAGTAAATACAGCTGGATAAAACAAAAACTGTCCATCTTCATTTCAGGCTGAAAAGCAACAAAATTTGATTATTTTAAAGGAGGGCAATTATTTTCTATACCAAACTGTATATAGTTTGTAATAGTTTTGATAAAACACATTGGATTTTACAGGTTTTTCTCTGGGAAATCTTTTTTTTTTTTGCCCTGCTCAGAGAACCTGAAATGCCCAGCCATCCCGTTTGTGTGTGCACGCGTGTTCTCTTCTCCTTTATGCCAAAAAGAGAGATGAATAAAAGAACGGCAACAATGAAGACAGGAAAGTCTGAACATCATGATGAGAGAAGGAGAGATCTGTTCCCAGGTGAAAAGAAGTCAAGAAAAAAAAAAAAGAACGCCAGTCAGAGAGGGCAAGATAGGAGCTATGTTGTAAATGTGTTCCCCTCTGGGGAGAGAGGGACAGAAAAAAGGGAGAGGTATTGATATAGAGAAAGAATGGAAAACAGAGAGCAAGGGGTTGAAGTGTAGGAAGTAACTAACACAAGGGTGTAAGGAGAGAATGCGTTAGAGAAAGGCAAGACATGTGGAGGTAAATAACCTGCGGGGAGAAGATGAAGGTAATGAAGTTAAGTGAACATGCAGATGAAGAGGGTGATTACAGCACAGAAGAGGACTGTAGCTGTCCATTTAGACAGGGATTTCGCTTTGAATCAATGTTATCGTCTGTTCTTTCTGTCTTTATCTGCCTTCAGATACAAAGACTACTAGAGTCATTATCTGTCTGGATGAATGGGGTCTCGTGAGGATTGTGTTTTGTGTTGTTTGAAGGTTGTCGGATGTGAAGGAAACTTCATCAACTGTAAAAAACAGAATGTGATGTTTTATTTGTGAAACAGTAGGGCCTTTGAGCACTACTCCGAGCAAGTTCATCCATGTTCATACAACCACAGTTTTATGAACACATCTTTTCTGTTTTTGTGGTAATACAATTGAGTGCTTTTCAATCTCGTGTCTTAGTTCACCCAAAAACGAGAATTCTGTCATCATCTACTGCTGCTGAGCATCTGTGCCATATTTGAATGTGCGTAAACTCCAAGGACTTCTAAGAGTTGCAATACCATCCTTAAAACTAGCTCAAACAATAAAACCTATTATTGGCCAATTGTACATGTGTTTGTGTTTCTATTCAGAGGAACTTTGCAGCTTGGGCTTTAAAGCACCTTTTATGTGATAATATATTTAACATGAAATATCTATTTACAAAATGAAACACAACTGTAAGGCCACCCAGAGTTTGTGATTTTTGTAGATTTTAGTAAGAAAGTTGGGGAATCATGATTTATTCATCAGTTGTGCGCCGATTTTATGCACATTTGTGTGTACGTACACTTATTATCTACAAATGGTCTCATTTTGTGTTCCATAGAACAAATAAAATCATGAATTACAATTACGTTAAACTGGTATATATCATATTTTTGAGTTTTATTTTTATTACAACAGACTCATATGCATATCAGCTTGGAAGGCCTTCAAATTTTGTCTTGGACAAAGGGAGGGGCCTCAAGGGGCCCGGCCTGGCCAGCTCAGTCACTGTGCCCCCTCATCTCCGGAGTGGGTGGCCTGATTTTAGTCTGTGAGGCAGGCTACTGTCCTGGGAAGATCTCCCACTCAGAAGTACGAGATGGGGAGTGGGTGGGTGTAGGCTGTCAAATACATGGATTAAATGCTAAATGTTTTAATTTCGGTATTTTTGTTACAAAAATATTTTTAGTTTAAGAATTATTAGTATTAAGAATAGAAGAGAGTTCGCTTTATGAAGAATTGTAATAATCTTTGCTAATATTCTTGAATCTTTAAACTGCTAACACTTTACTGACTGTTTCAGCTATTTGATTGCACCGGCGACTCGTGTGCCTGCTATATATTCATTGTAAACAGAGCAGCTGTTTCCCCCCAAATAAGTTTCAGTAGTAAGAAAAAAAGTGTTTTAAAGCTTGTTGTTTTGTAGAACATCACAGTTATAAATTATATGAGAATAGTAAGGCCTGTAGATAGGGAGTATGTGTTATTTAAGAAAAAATATAATCATATTTTCAGAATGACATCATTTTTTTTCAAACCTAGTCTGTGGGGTAAAACGCCCCCAGGGGGCATGGCTTAATTACTGTAGTTACTCTGTTCTGAACATCAAATCTTTTGTTTTTCCATTAAATGTATTCTAACTAGTTGGTTGAATAAACATATTTGGATTTTAAATTTAAAAATTGCCTCAGGTTAGCATCAGGTAGCTAGTTAGCATCAGCTAACAATATTTTTCAAATAGGCTATTATAATTGTGTAATTCTTAATTATTGATTATATTCTTTTTAATTTTGAAGATAAAACTGCCTGTACTCTGGTTTTGCTGTAAATGTATAAAGCAAATTGCTTTGTCAGACTGGGGGCATTTTACACCACCTTTGGGGCAAAGCTATTCTGGACACATTTAACTTTTGTTTCACAGAAAAAAATTACACAGTCCTTAAGGGGGGCGTTTTCCCCCACTCTACCCTACTGCAATTATATTATATTTATTCATTAGAATTATATTATTTAATTCTTGTTCTATTCTGAATATGGTTAAATTTAAAGGATTTGTTGTGGAGTGAGGGGAACTAATATAGCCTAGGTTTATAATGTTTATATTGTTGGTACATTATAACATTATGCTTTAGGCCTGCCGGTAGCCTATTATTTCTGAATGTAATAAAATCCAAAAAAATAAAAAACGTAAAATTTATGTTTTTTTTAAAACATGCAGCAAACGAAAGTAGATGATTAATTGTTTAAAAATTCTTATTGTCTGTTAACAAATATACATAATGCTTGGCTTCCCAGATAACAACAGAATCTGGGCCAAATCTGGCTTACATTCGGCACTTCTGGCTTTGTTCTTGTTTCTTGTGTCTTAGTTGCAAATGTTTTGTGATTTATTTTATTATTTTTATGTACGATAAATTCTGACAATTAAAACAAAAATCAGGCTCGTGTATTTATGATATCAATTACTACTTTCTTTGTTCAGAAACGGAAGTAACTTAAAATGTTAGGCTATTTGTGTGTTGTACTTTTCATATTTTTAGTAGCTTCAAACAGCAAAACTACAGCGCTTCCAGTAGGCTATTTTATAGAGCTGTCAACACTGGAAACTCTGACGGCATGCAGTCAGTCGACGAACACTCTATATACGTATAACTAGGCTATATGTTATTAAATTATATATATAAAATTATTTTATTTACAAGTTTCGTGTTTGTGTTTTTCCAGTTTTATTCGTTGCTTCCACTGAAAATAACTTATTATAATTATATAATTATAATTATAATTTATAATCTACATATCTACACTAGTAGTCTACATATATCAATCAATATTCAGAAACAGGCGCCGCTCTGGCACTGACCCTGGAGAGCTCTGAAGTTTTTGCCAGATTTGGTGGTTGAGAACCACTGCTTTAAGCATTTCCGTTTACTAATATACTTGTAATTTACATTATAAAGGTATATGATACATTTTTACAATCATATTTTGGCCTCAACAACAGCACTGATATTCTAACCTGCACCAGCCAACATCCAGATGTGATAAAACTGTTTTCAGAAAGCCAGTAACTGTGGAGAGTATGAACAAGCATCATGACAGAATTTAAATTCTAAACACCTTTGGAGGCTGAAAGTGCTGCTTCTCATCTTAATGACTTCATGCACTCTGTCACTTCAGTTTTCCTGTTTGTTTTCCATGTTTTAACCTTGCTGTTTTGAATTCCCATAGGTTGTGTGTGCGGTGGGCACATTTGAGGTGCAAATTCGACAATGGCTAAACCCTCTGGGCTTTCTACAGAGTGGTCAGTGCTGTGACCCCCAGGCCAGTGGGGGGCAGCACTGCTCATCAGCTGATCAGTGTGACACCTTCTTCAAGGCCTGTCTGAAGGAGTACCAGGCTCGGGTTGCACCAATCGGCACCTGTACATATGGCACTGGCAGCACATCTGTCCTGGGTGGCAACTCCCACACCTTACATCACCATGGAAACGAGGGAAGCAACAGCAGAAATGGACGAATTGTTATCCCATTTAAATATGCATGGCCAGTGAGTACAACTCTCGTTTATTTATCAGCTTAGTGAACGCTGCTGGTGAAAACATCATTTCTTTATACTTCATGTGTTGTAGAAACCTTTGCCAAAGATTGTTCGGAAGACACTTGGATAATCTGCATGTTTTTCTGATCTGTTATAGAGACAATTGTGCGTGTCTGAACGTATCAGGGGGATATTTTCTAAAGGGCAGCTGTCATGTCACCATTACACTGTCTCAGTTGCCTCGATATCACTTCTGCTGCCCTTATAATGTCAGTTTTTGAAGGTAATCTGTGGAATTTACAAATATAAATGACAAAAAAGACTTCACACAAGCTTCCTGAACATATTCCCTCTTCTGCCATTGGTTGAAAAATACATTAAATACATGAAAAATACACCGCCCCACACACTGGTTGAGCCTATGGTATCGCAAAAATAAAGGTTGAGCCAATGTTGCTCATGCCAATGGTTTGATAGCACTACAGAGTCAAAGTATTTACACTTTTTGAAATCAGCTTGCAAATATCTTACCTAAAATTGTCTCCGCATGTTGAAGGGATAGTTAATTTAAAATGAAACTTCCATCATTTACTTATTCTCATGTTGTTTCAAACCCAGAAGACTTTCGTTCATCTTTTAAACTCAAATTAAGTTTTTTTTAATGAAACGGTTTAAGTTTATGAAGACACCGTAAAAGAAATCAATATGAATCAAGCCGTTTAACCCAAGTTCTCTGAGTAGACACAATTGCTTTATATGATGAACAGATTTCATTTAGGCATTTATGTACACTGACCAACATGCATACAAAGAGCACATCAAGTACGGTAAATGTAAGCTCAAACCTTCTTGCATGATGTGCAGGAACCAATGAGGTTTGCTCTCACATCTCTCGCAAGCACATTTCAGCTGCAAGAACAAATGACATTTATTGTTGTGCGTCAAGCAAGCATTTCCATTTGCCATATTTGATGCACTCTATGTATGAGTGTTGATTAATGTATAGAACAACAACAATGTTGTGAATAAAACATTTACATTTTTAGCAGACAAGCGACTTACAGTGCATTCAGGCTATACATTTTTTTAATTTTACCAGTATGCGTGTTCCCTGGGAATTGAACCCACGACTTTTTGCACTGCTAACACAATGCTCTACCACTGAGCCACAGGAACACTACCTAAATTAAAATAAAAAGCCTAATTTAAAGGGTTAGTTCACCCAAAAATGAAAATTAGCCCATGAAGTACTCACCCTCAAGGCATCCTAGGTGTATATGACCTTCTTCTTTCAGACGAATCCAATCGGAGTTATATTAAAAATTGTCTTTGATCTTCCAAGCTGTTTAATGGCAGTCAGCGGGTGTTGCAGTGCATTAGTCCAAAAGAAGTGAAATAAAGCGCATGCATCCACATCAGTCCAAAAGAAGTGAAATAAAGCACATCCATTCATAATAAAAAGTGTCTCACACGGCTCCGAGGGGGGGAACAAAGGCCTCCTGTAGCGAATCGATGCGTTTTTGTAAGAAAAATATCCATATTCAAAACGTAATAATCACTTTAATCTAGCTTACGCCAACAGTTGTACACGGAAGCAGCTCCGGGTGGATGACGTATAAGGTCTGCTTTGCGCCGCTCAGAAGTGACGAACGCGGAAGCAAAGCGGAGAGATCAAAACAAAACAACGGTCACGAATTAGAAGTACA